AAGTCAGCTTAAAAAAAAAAAAAAAAAACCCAAAGACAAAAACAAAAACACATTATAGGGTTTCATGACAGAAACATTTTGCAAGTAAAAGAAGGGCCACTCCGTGGTTTGTTTTTTTTTTTTTTGGTAGGAGGATCAAACAGCACCTTGCACTTGCCAGGTGCTACAATATGAACAGCTCATGACCTGAATTTTACTATACTTTGTACAGTCCAATGCTCTACATATACAGACCTACATGCATTAAGGTACTAAAGATCTGAACTTTTGGGGGCTGGTGAGATGGCTCAGTGGTCTAAAGCACCTACTTAGAACAAGCTTAGCAAAGCACAGGAACGGAGGTTCAATCCCCCAGCACCACACCCCAGCCAGCCCCGCCCCTAGGTGGGCTGAGCTGGCCACACACACAATAAATAAATAAATAAATAAACTTTAAAAAAACAAAAAAAGGATCTGAACTTTTGTTGTTAGTCCTTGCAGCTTTATTTCCACCCTTCAAAGTTACACCCTATTTAAAAAAGATGTTTTAAAACTTCTGATATAAATCATTACCATATCACAGCACAAATACTGTCTTTGTTACTGGCCATGTGTTGATAGAACACCTACTTTCCTCCTGCCCATTAACACAGCCAATGTATTTTCAAAGGCTGTAAACCTCTTCTAGTCCGGGGAGAAATACCTCTAGTTTTCCCTCACAACAATCAACTGTGGAAGTCTCTTACTCAAGCAGGACCAAGAAGTTTACAGTGTCAGCAGCAATATGCCACCCCTTTAAATTTCTTTTTTTTTTTAAAGCAGTCTCATTATGTAGTTCAAGTTGGCCTTTTTTTTTTTTTTTTTTTCCCCCTTTGGAACCAGGGATTGAACCAGACCCTTGTGCTTGCCAGGGAAGTGCTTATTCTACCGAGCCATCTCCCCATGAATTTTTTTTTTTTTTTTTTTTGGTTAGGTAGTGACTTGGTGGAGGCACTCATCTCTTAATAAGGGTTTTTCTGCTGCCTCCCCCACAGCAGGTGGTACTCCTTACCTCTCCAGAGAGCCCTATAATGATCACCAATAGCATACCATCCAAAAGCAG